ATCAAGACACAGTCAAGAAGACCGGAGGTGGAGAATAGCGCAGGTTAATGGCATAGTCGAGCCCGCATCTTGACGCTCTACTTCACACCCCCTGGTCCACACAACAAATGACCAGGATTTTAACCAGCAACAAAAGGGTGGTCGGCACGGCCGGAGCCGCACGTAGGCGTGCCGTCACACCTGGCTTTGATCCTACAAAGTGGGAGTGCTATGAAGGCCACATTAAGAAGGATCCATTGCAGCCTGACTCTTAGACCACCAGTTGGCTGCTCCACACAAACACACGACACTGCGAGGTCTACGTTATCCCGTAAATTGGCAACCTTCCAAGCCACGGCTTTTAGCGCACCGTAATAGCTTCAAGCGCGTCAGATTGTTTATAGTGAGAAAAGTGCGCTGCGTCGCCGAACTCACTCTCCCTTCCCAGATTCAGATCATTCTACTTTATTGGGCCTCTTGAAGATCTATTCCACCTTTAAGCGTGCGCTGTTAACGTAACCTGAGAGAAAAATTAAGATGCTTAACACGTCCCCACAAAACACTCGCTTGCATCAGACCCGCATATCATGTACCATCTCCGTTTTCCTTAAACAGTCGAGTGTTGAATTGTGCTCTAGTCGTATGACAGTTCGACCGTCGATTTCGACGATGTCCACCGTGTGCCCCACAGCTGCAGCAGCGGTGGGAGCAGGGACGGTGACTTACGCAGGGGTTTATATTGCCAGTAGACTTGCGTAGCATCTACCTACACTCTCTCCTCCTCCCCCGCCTGGGCCCGGTGTTAAGACAGAGTCAAGAAGACCGGAGACGAGGGAGGCCGCAGGTGGATGGCTCGGACGGATCCTCACCTTGGCGTTCCACCACACCCCCTGGTCCACACAACAATAACCAGGATTTGAACCAACACAACATAGATTTAGAGGCTGGCACGGCCGAAGCCGCACCTGGGCGTGCCGCCAACGCCTGGCTCGGATCCCACACTGTGGTGGGAATGCCATAAAGGCCACATTAAAAAGGAGCCATTGCAGCCTGACTCTCAGACCGCCTCCAGTGAAGGAGGAGGTCCAAGGTACCCCGTCAGTTGGCAACCTTCCAAGCCACGGCTTTTAGCGCACCGTAATAGCTTCAAGCGCGTCAGATTGTTTATAGTGAGAAAAGTGCGCTGCGTCGCCGAACTCACTCTCCCTTCCCATTCGCGTGCCCCAGTCACCGCACAAGCCAGTCAGTTGACACGTGCGGTAGGCGGCGTACATCTCACACACGTGAGAGTACCGTAGGTCGCGTCGAGAAGGCTCCGTTTCGGCCTGGCTCTCGGGCCCACTAGTCTGCCACTCCACACAAACACTTACACAACTGGACAGAGTTTAGGCGTCGGTTAGCAGTCTTTCAAACCACGGTACCTGACACACAGTGATAGTCTCGAAGTCGAATCACACATGCAGTAGAGGGGCCGCTTGGAAACGAAGTCGAGACGCTCACTTCCCACTTGAGTGGGAGGTAGCAATTGGATGCTTATGGTGGGTGGCGATGTTGTGTGACGCAGGTGTTGGTGGGGGAAGATGGGTTGGCGTGGCGTAGCCAGCAGTTATCTACCACAGGTTTTCGTGGATGCGCATGTGGCCTAGGAGGCCCTTGCGATGGGTGAGTGTGTGGGTGCAGTGAGGGCAGTTGAGGCGGATGCGGCGAGTGTATGTGGGTGCTCCAGGCACTAGTTCGCCAGTGTCTGTGCGACGGATTTGCAAGTGACCGACCAGACGGATGTGTGAGGTGAATGTACGGGAACAGTGTGGACAGAGAAAGTGGGCGGTGTAGATGTTGATGGTGGACACGCTGGACGACGGGGTGTGCGTTGGGCTAGGCATGGTGGGTGTGCAAGACGTGCTGAGTTTGGTGGAGCTGATGGTCGTGGGCGTGCTGGGGGGCGGGCCTTGGGTTTAGCTAGACATGGTGAATGTGCAGGAGGTGCCAGGTGCATCGAGACTGCGGTCCATTCCGCCCTCGTGGATACTCATATGACTGGATAAGCCCATGCGATGAAGGAATGCGCGACGGCAATGTGGACAGCGAAGACGAATGGGGCGAGTGTAGGTTGGTGCTTTATGCACTAGTTCGCCAGTCTCTGTGCGATGGATTCGTAAGTGACCGACCAGACCAATGTGTGAGGTGAAGGTGCGGTAGCAATGAGGACAGGAATGGACTGAGTCCGCTTCGCTGGCATTGACGGTGAGGGGGTTGGTGTTTGTTGGTGTGTCAGGATTGTGTGCAATAGTGGTGGGTACAGGAGCCGCCGTAGCGGATGTTGAAGCAATGGAACGGAAGGAGGAGGATGGTAGTGGACTTCGTGAGTGCGGTCAGTGTTAGTTGTCGGCGTGGGGGGTGGGACAGAGTTGGATGGGGACACAGTAGCGTGTGTAGTCCAGGTGCTGCAGTTGGTACAAAGGTGTCTTACAAGGCCGATTGGTACCCGGAACGTCCGCTGTCGGCGTGGGCAGGTCGGGGGCGGTTGAGCGTTGGCGTTGCAAGTTGGGTGCGTTTGAGATTTGCGAGCCTAGTGTTTGGCTTTGGCGGCGGTGATGCGGCTGGCTTCGTAGATCGCTGCGCCTGTATCCACTAAACCCTCCCCCCAGGTGTGTCGATCTCGGGCGAGGTCTTCCCAGTTGACCGGGTTGATCTGTAGACGATTCAGGGAAGTCTTCAGAGTGTCCTTGTAGCCCCGCACTTGACCTCCTTGTCGGCTAGGACTCGTGGCGACATCCTGTAGAGGAGTCGTTTGGGTACGCGCTCATCATTCATCAGCACGAGGTGACCGCTCCAACGCAGTTGCAGCTGTCTCAATATGGCGTAGCTGCTGAGGATTCCCGTTCTTTCCAGTAGGTCCATGTTCAGGATCCGGTCCTGCCACCTTATCTTCGGTATCCGTCGAAGACAGCTGAGGTGGAAGTGATTGAGTCTTCGCGCCTGCTTCTTGTACACTGTCCAGGTCTCCGCTCCATACAGTAGAGTCGGCAGGATGACCGCTTTGTACATATTCAGTTTGGTGTTAAGATGGAGATCGTGACGGTTCCAGACGGTCGAAGGGTTGGTTGGCTTTGGAGATCCAGTGGGCGACTTCATCGTCGATTTTGGTGTTACGAGAGAGGGTGCTGCCCAGATAGGTGAAGTTTTCCACGACTTGCAGTTGGGCGCCGTTCACATTGATTATGGGTGCGACGTAGGCAGCGTCGTGTGGCGGTTGATGCATAACCACCGTCTTCTCCGTGTTGGAGACGAGGCCGAAGCTGTCGCAGGCGGCGGCGGCGGCATCTTCTAACATTTCTCCTGCACTTAACGGGAGCGAAGATCATATCCGTGGTCCCACGATGACAACGGAAACCGCACTGGAATTCCGGCAGAAGACCTTGTTCTAGATGACTGTTCTGACGGTTGAGAGAGATGCGAGTAAAGATTTCCCCGGCGATGTTCTGCAAGGAGATTCCTCGATTGTTGTCACAGAGCTGGCGATTCCCTTTCCGCTTGTCAGATGAACTATGATTTGGGGACCACCGTGCTTGTAGATCTCAGCAGGGCTCGCGTCCGATCTCCGTGCCTTCCCGCTGGAGAGCTGTTGTACGGCCTCGATGGTGTTGTGGAGAGTGGGCGGGAGATCGAGGTCGGCATTGTTCTCCACTTGAGGCAGACGGGCGATGGATGCGTCGGAGATGGTGGAGGGACGGTTGATTACGCTCGGCCCGTCGCTGAAGAATTTATGTCTTCTCGGTGAGTACGGTACTGACGTGGACGCTGAGAAGGGGGGCATTTGCTTTGGCTGTGGGACCGTAGACAGCCTTGATCTCGGGGAAGAAATTCTTCCATTCGTTGTGATCCACGTAACCTCGTATCTCCTCGGCCTTGCGAGCCGTCCAAGCGTCCTGCATTTCGCGCAGCTGCCGTTGCATAAGGCGGCGAATACGGTAGAAGGCCGCCTTGTCGTCAGTGGGGCGGTTGGCGTAGGCTTTGTGCAGTCAGTTCTTCTCGGCGAGTAGGTTGCCGATGGCGGCGTCGTTGCCATCGAACCAGTCTTGAGGTTGGCGACATGCGCGAGCGAGGACAGCCAGGGCCGTCGACTGGACTGTGTCCCGCATTTACACCATCGGTTCTGCACGAAGGCCTCCACGTCGGGAGCAGTGGCGGCGGCGGCGACTGGAAGGCTGGCTGGCCATGAGGCTAGTTCATTGCTGAAATGAAGGTGGTGAACAGGCAAAGACCACAAAGCAATATTCAGCTTACCTGGGGGTCGCCTACCTTGAGGTCTCTTGCGAGGCTGTATGCGAATCCGCATCTTGGCGATGACGGGACGTTGGTCGATCCACCCATCGATACCCGGAATCGTCTTTGTCACTCGCACGTTCTGCTAGTCTCGCCTCCGGACGAGGACATAGTCCAGCAGGTGCCACGTACGCGATCGAGGATGCCTCCAGGTAGCCTTCTGTCGCTTCGTAAGGCGGAAGAAGATGTTCCTCCGGATAAGGCGGTGTTTTGCACAGGTTCGTAAAAGGAGCAAGATAATGCCATAGAAGCCGTCGAGACCATGGGGACCCAGCACACCTCTCCAGGCATCATGGTCTGACCCGGCGCGGCCGTTGAAGTCATCAAGGGCAATCACCTTATCCGCCTTCGACACATTCGCCAGGAAGGCATGCAGGTCCTCATAGAATTTGTTCCTTGCAGTGTAAGGGCTGGTCATCGGCGGAGCGTAGACACTGACGATGGTGGCGAAGTTGCCTCCCCAGAGAGGCAGACGGAGGCTCATCGAGTGATCGTTGATGCCCTGCGACAGACAGAACAGTCCCAGAATGTCGTCCCGGAGGGCAGAGTCGACTCCCGTCAAGTTTTTAACAGTTGGGTGGACAGTTAAAGCCCTGCCCCGCAGTCCACTTTTTTTTACTAACAAGGGGAGGGGGGGGCGGCGGGACTTAAACAGATGTTTTCAGAAAAAACGGCTAGGATTTTCACTTTTTGTATATTCAGTGGGGTTAATTCTCACAGTCAGCTGTCAGTGAATGATTGTCTTCTCAGTTTCGTGTGAGCTTCTTGGTTTTTAGTGTTCCATTCTCACCAGCGCGTTCTTTCTCCTACTCCTCCCTCTCAAGGTGGCTTCATACACGACTGCGCCTCGCACGATTTAGATATGGTCTGCTGGCTTATTGGAGGCTTCCCTGAGCGCGTGTTTGCCACCGCCACAACGCACGACCCCGAAATTAGTGCCCTCAAGGACACCGATACAGCAGTCATTGTTCTCGACTTCCCGTCCACTGTGAGTGGACGTCCCGGCCCAATTGCTGTGATAGACATATCCCGGCATGGTGTCTATGGGTTAGTTGCCTTACTTTATCCATCTCCGCAATTTTCTATGCCTCTTCCCTTCCTTCTTCCTGCTCCCTTCCGCCCCGTCTTCCGATTCCCCCCTTCTTCGCCTTCCCACCCTCTTCACCACCCCCTCTTCCCTCTTTCACTTCTGATTTTTCTCCTTTATTATTGTCCCACCGATTCATTTCACCTTCGCTTTATTCTCATTACCGTTTTTTACTTTCGTGTCTCTTTCACCTCATCCCGCCTCTTTTTTCTCTCGTCCCCATTATTTGCCGTGTTATTTTATGCCCTCAGTCTGCTTTTCTGAACGGCTTCTGAGCTGTTTAGTCAGATTTGTGAGGGTACATCGACTCGCCAGAACAGACTTATTGTGTTGCCGACGTCTCAGGGAGCTTGTTCAAATCTGCTGTCAAAAGGTTTGGTGCATAAAGTCAAACAGAAAGTAAAATTGTCTGCCGAGCTAGTCCGCACAAGGCCGAAAAAGGCCCTTCTGCCGACTGTTGAAGTCGGCAGCCGAAAACCACGCCTGTATTGTAGACCGTTCTCGCAGTTGCCTCTGTCTAGAATAGTCACTCCCTAAAGGTTAGGAATATAACCGGTTTCTCCAGCGTGTTCGAGTTCATCACTGTAGGAAAGCTCAACCAGCGGTTGTAGAAACTCTCTTGTAGGCCGGGAACTTCACTGGTTACCACCTCATAGACACTTTTTCGAGCACAAAATCTGAGGTCATACTTTCGAATCTGGGGGAGGGGGGGTTAACTCACAGACTGGTTCCTTAGTGCGGAATTGTGCGCGCCTGCTGATGCCTGTGAATGCCATCCCATCCTCGCAGTAAGGATGCGCAATATGCGAACCAGAAGCTGCTATAACACCGGATTGGTTTGCCGATTGGTGTCAAAGGACCCAATTTATCGCGTAGCTCATCCGTGGCACCAAACAAGTCGCTCCTCCATTCACTGAAGCGCTGGCTCTCGTTTGGCAATAGCAGACTTGAATCTATGACACTGGGTTCGGTCTTCTGTCGTAGTAAAACATTATGCACCATATGGAGTCCACTTGCGCAGTCAGCTGAATTGGGAAGATTTACAAACACAGCACGGGGCTGGAGGGAGAAGTGATATTTTTGGGAAAAATAAGCTTTGATCAGTGGGGCTGCATGCCAGCCACGATCCGCAAGTTTTATAACACGTAAAATCATCCCCGGAGGACGAGTACGAGGGCACAGTATCAGTGCCATGAAGACTCGTGCCGCAGTGACCTTTCCCGTCTTCGTGGGAGTTGACATAACGATGCCATCACCTGAAGGTGGGCTCTACCTTTCCCGGATGTGACTTGCAAGCCCACCACTACCAGCGTACATCGATTATTAAATTCCCGAGTCCCGGTCGGTGCCTCGTAGCTCAGGTGGTTAGATTGTTGGCTGTACTCAAGTCCTACAAATACCGTTGTGGGTTCGGATTTCACCGAGGCCGCTGAGTTTTTCACATTTGGGTCAAGTGGATCATTGAAATCTACCAAAACACCTATTCATTACAATGTGGTTCACCGCAGCAGAGCCGCCTACACCTTTAACCTATGTACGACAGGTTGCCGTTCATGACGTGAAAAACATGAAGTTAGGGTGCACCACACAACTTTCTCCGGTGAGATCGCAGTTGGTAGCCAGGCCCTGTACGTTGATACTGTCGACGTACTTACTTGTTATCAGTAGGTGTGCTTACCTTGCCTCGGGAACTGGCTATCGGTAGGTGTGCTTCTACTGCGTGAGGTAGGTCGGCCGTTTCGGTCAGGCTGTTGGGTTTAGTGAGGGTCACGGTTAGACGTAGGTTAGGTTTTAGGATTAGGATTTGCGTTATAGGGTCCGGCTTCAGTGTTAGGGTTAGGGTTTAGGTTTATGATTATGGGTTGGGATTGGGCTTCAGGGTTAGGGCTAACGGTTAACGATTAGTGGTTAACGGTTCAGGTGAGGGTTAAGGTTAAGGTTAGGGTAAAGGTCAGCTTTAAGGCCAGGGTTAGGGTCAAAGTTGAGGTTAGGGTTTAGTTTTGAGGTTTTAGTTTACCGTTATCCATTCCCGGGAGTTTCTGAATTCGGCTTCTCCGGCAACGTCCTCCGTTTCACCTCCAGGGGATCTGCATCCTTACTACCACTTCCTGCATTCGCACTACCAGATGACGTACGGACAGGTTGTTATAACCTTTGTCTTCGCAGTCAGCGTCCGTTTTCTTTTTGTTTTCCGTATGGCGGTCGCAGGTTCGGCGTGCAGTGTCGACTGCCTACGACGACATTACCATCTGCCTTCTGGTTTTACTTATATAAGCGGGACAATTCGCTACGATTTAATTCCGATACCGTTGAATTACGCTGTTCTTACATCCAACGACTACCCTCCGAGGGATAAGACGTATCCCAAACGGGTGTTTTTGATCTAGATTGGCCCAGCAGGTCTAACACTCTACGTCTCCCCCCCCTCCCTTCGTTTTCGTCCTACGGCACTTCGGTTAGCAGCCACGTCCGGACACGCTTTTTCTCGTCATTACGTGTTCGTCCAATCGTCGTGCGCATTTGCCATCCTTTAAGCTAGCTTATCTTGGCCTCCTCTACTTGCAGTTGCCAGTCTTCCGACACAGTTCTCACCCGACATTGCCGTCGTGCTTTACTCGATTACACCCCTTCCCCGCCCAGCCGGCATTTACGTGCTTACAGTGCATTTCTGCTTTGCCTTTCCCGCTATATTGTCCGGTCTACGCGTACGTATGCTCACTGGTGCACTTTTGCATCCGCCGTACTTGGGTTTGATGCCGTCTTTCAGTAGTTCGCGGGTGCCCCAGACGTCCAGCCCTACCGGTGGTCCCCTTCGACATCCACCATTCGCCTCGCACAGTCCCCCTCCACTCGTGCACCAGGAGATTTAGGACGGCGTCCCCCCATTATTCTCGGGTTTTTCGCACCTTTCACTTTGCTGCGATTTCGGCGTCCGACCCAACGTTCTTCCGCTTCGTGTGCAGTCCACCGTACTTTTTTTTTTCATGTTAGCTGTATTGCCCGCATTTTTACTTGACAATCGCCCTCCTCCTCCCGCGTTTGTCCAACTATTAGCCTGCAGGAAACAGTAAGACTACGACGAGTCGCACAATTCAGACTATCCCCTAAGACGAACAAACTACCCGCGAGGCGGCACAAAATGTGTCCTTCCGACTGGCCGTCTAGGCGGCCTTCAGCTCGCGCAGATGTACTGTCCGGGTGGTATAAACGACCGCAGGAAAAACCAAGGCCATGAATTTCAGTCGAACAGATTTCGCTATTGCTATTAATAGTTCACATAAGCATCTGCTTTGTTCGTCTGCATTGGCTTCCATGTGGCGTTCTCCTTGGCCAGCCCGTTGTTTACTCTTCTTGGTACTACCTTCGTCCCTAAGTGTCTACACAGCTAAAACAGTTACGGTTACGTTACCGGTTCTCGACTTACCTTGGTGCCTATTGAGCTTCGCTTTGGTTTTCGCATTCATTTTCTACAAGCGGATACGCTAGGGCCACATAGGTGCGGAACAGTTCCCACGCCTCCGGTAGGTTACTTGCCTTCACACCATACCACAGGCGGTATTGGGCTTCATCGACGTGTTCCTAAACTCTTCTTCCTTTGATGGGTCCTTTCTCGCGCAATTTCTTCTTCAGCCTGTTCCAGTAGTCCTCTATGGCACTCGTATTCCTTCTGTTGAGCGGATCAACAGAATTGACGAAACGATTAGGCGTCAGATGGCGATAGCCCTCTACCGCTAGCCGGAGATACGCTTTCCACTGGTCCGTTACTATCACACTTCCCAGGGCCCCCCATTTCTTTAGTACGGCCCTCAGGGAAGAACGGCTACTGTCGTTTACCTGCTCGAACAGAGCTCTCCGTCCGTTCGTATCGCAAATGTCTAGGAATGCTCAATTAAGTGGATGATAATACCCAGGATCCAGTTCTAATTCTATAAGATAACGACGTTCTATTTCGGTCTAGTTACCAATATTTCGTTCACTTGGAATTCGACGTTTTAACCAACCAGCTGTCTCACTTCTTTGAGGAGGGCTTTCGTGCATACATCTCCCAAACTTCCATACCACTCGACCGTCGTATGGGGACTGATGCCCACAGACGCTGCACACCTACCTGCCCCTGTTCCTTCCTCAAAAGCAAGGGTTGTCCTCATTGTCTTTAGTAATGTTAGATGGCTTCGATCAAACCTAGAGGAGTCCTCAGTTCCCTTATAGTCCCGCATTTCCTACATCTACAGAGTACCTGCTACTAGATGTTAGCCTTACCTGAAGGTATAACCGTCCGTGTGTCGCCGCAGGACTCTCGCAACCGCATTGGCACGCGGCATGGACACATTACTTGCGCGGTCAGCAGTCCCTTAGGTTGCAAATACTGCA